AGATCTTCTTACATCTCAGGCTGGTTTCGTGGGTGCTCAGAGTGGTCTGGAAGTTATCCAGCTCAATTCCGGGGACCAGCTGAAATAGGGTCCCCTACTCCTCCGCCATCTTTTTCCTGCATCAACAGACTCTTAAACACAGAGCACACACTGGTGGTTGCCAGAGGGGATGTGGCTGGGGTGGGGGTGGCATCGATGAAGGGGATGAAGAGGTGAAGACGTATAAGCTTCCAGTTCACAATCAGTAAGTCACGGGGATGGAGAGTACAGCCCAGGGCACACGGCCAGTGATCCTACAGTGATGCTGTTTGGGGACGGGAGGTGACCGCAGTGGTGAGCACTGAGTGACGTACAGACTCGTGCGTCCATGTGCTGTACACCCAAAACAGACCGAACGCTGTAGGTTAATGATGAGTCTATTACAAAATATGGGAAAATGATTTGCATCACATGTGCTCAAATGCTGAGCATAACCGCAACAGGATAAATTTAGCAGTTACAAACACCCAACATTTAATTTTGATCAAGTTTTCTCCAAGAGTCCTACAGTAAACATAAACACTCAGATCACCAAATTAACTGCATAAACCCTAGCGGACAAAGAGTTGTTAGGTCTCAGTCATAGCCAGCTTTTAGAGGATAAACACCAAGCCATTAATAATTACTAATTTTGTAGCAAGAAGCAGAACTTTTTGGGTGGTGGGGAGAACGATCCTCACGCTCTACTGTGCATACTTCTCTGTTTTGTTTTTGTCTTGCACAGAGCATTTGTAGCCCAGCCTCACTTCTGTCCATGCAGAACAGTGAGCAAAACCGACAGAACTCTTAGGTCACCCAGTAGCTCGCTAGCCGTGCGGCCCATGCAGTAGCCACGTGCCACATGCACGTATCGGGTTAAGTAAACTTTAACTTCACCCGCTTCTCTTTACGGTTGTAAATGCAGCTTCGAGAATATTTTAGATGACACACGTGTCTCATGTTAACCTCCTGCTGGCCAGCACTGCACTAGATGAGAAGTTTACGGGAACAGTTCGCTTTCGAACGAACCAGAAAGGACTCGAATCCTGAACCATGCCCGCATAGGACCGCTGGAAAGCTCATGGCAGCGGACTGCCGCGGGGGTACTGTGACCCCTGGAGCACATCTGCAGCCACTGTAGCAGCCCTGAACTCTGCTCCACTCATGTCTCAGCGGCTCTCCAAAGGATTTAGAGAGGAAAGTACCTTATCATGTTGCGCTTCTTCCAACTGCTTCTTCGCAGTTTCAACTTCTCTCAATAGAGAATTCTGAAAAACATATAGACAGTACTTTACTGTTGGTTCTTGAAAATGTTCCACGTAATACAAGTATGGCCACGCCTCTGCGTAAAATAATACGGTACCACAGAAAAGTAATGGGTCACAGGACCACACCAATGAGCAGGCCTACACGCCCACAGAGCGAATGCGGACAGTGACGTCACAATCTTTAACAATGAGTCCGTGTAAAATTTCTTCACCCATCTATTTTCTAAATGTAAGAATGACGAGTTCACGGAGTAATCTTATTTTAATCAGTTAAACCAGTTTGTACTAGATTTTAGGCTTTGTAATTCATCAGTTACTTGGGAATCCTGACGTAAGTTTCAAATGTATAATTCAAATCTAAGATAAAGACATTCCTACATGAAGGCTGGCCCACTGATCAAGGAGAAGTACGGTAACCACCCTACGTGGTAATTATGCATTTCATAATGGGTTTTACGTAACACAAATGTGTCATGTAATCAGCAGTGATCACTGGTGTCTCCGAAATGAGCAGGACTCCAAGTGCCAATCTCAGGGAAGATTCTGGGCCCATCTTTAGGGACATGGCTGTAGCCAGAATAGATTTTATCAAGCCGGAATCCAACTGTTGCCATCAGAACTTCTCTGACATAGATTCTAGGACACTCCTTCACTCCGGTTACAGCTCAGGTATTTCCAAGATGACAGCTGTAAGAGCCCAGGCTCAGACTTTTTCCAAACCAGATGAAAAGAGAGAAGGCAGGAGATGGAAAAGGAGAATGTCTGTTTTCAGCTGATTAAACCCCTTATATAACACTAGGCTCCTACACTGTCAACTTCATAAGCGGGACAGAAATCAGCCCCCGAAGCAAGAGCATCGCGGCTGAGGGATGAACACAGTTTCGTGCAGGGGTGGTGAAGGAGGCGACATCCGGCCACTGCCCAGTGCTGGAAATCAAGGGTCACTGGCACGCAGCCACACCCACTTGTCACCTACGGTCTATGGCTACTTTTGTGATAATTATTGACTAGCATGAGGTTATTTTACACATATTCACAATTAATAAAAGCCTACGATACTTACAATTCTGGCCCTTTACAGACCCAGTTTACAGACTTCTGCTCTAGACTGAGAGTAATACACACATGTCAAGTGAGGACAGGACAATGGAAGTCAATTCAGTGAGTGGATAACAGTCTGTCCTGTTTCCACGTCAAAGAATAATTTCTACTTTCTGTAATGTCTTTCACCCACTGTTCTGCATTACTCCTCAGGAGCAGAGTGTGAACACTCTCTTTGTGGAGGGTGGGAGCCCCCCGGGGCATGTTCTCAATGTCCCACCTTGTCTTCCAGAGCAGCCATTCTCTCCTTAAGATGAAGCTGAAGCCTCTCATTGGATTCAGAAAGAAGCTTGTCAACAGTGTCTGATAAACGCTTGTTATGTTCTTCATTCATTTTTTCTCTCTGCCTTGCCTAAGAGAGAAGAAACAAAAGTTTACAAACTTCAAGAAAAGGTATGATCAATAGTTTAGCTATTGTGGATATTGCTGCTATAAATATTGGGGTGCAAGTGCCCCTTTGAATCACTATGTTTATAGCTTTTGAGGTAAATACCCAGTAGTGCAATTGCTGGGTTATAGGGTAGCTCTATTTTTAACTTTCTGAGGAACTTTCATACTATTTTCCAGAGTGGCTGCACCCGTTTGCATTCCCAGCAGTGACAGATAAATGGATAAAGAAGATGCGGTGTGTGTGTGTGTGTGTGTGTAATATTACTCAGCCACCAAAAAGAAAGAAAGCTTGTCATTTGCAATGACGTGGACAGAACTAGATAGACAGTATTATGCTAAAGGAAGTCAGTCAGTCAGAGAAAGACATACACCATATGATTTCACTCATGTGGAATTTAAGAAACAAAACAGATGAACATAGGGGAAAGGAGGGAAAAATAAAACAAAACCAGAGAGGGAGACAAACCATAAGAGACTCTTCACTCTAGGAAACACACTGAGGGCTGCTGGAGGGGAGGGCGGTGGGGGGCTGGGGTAACTGGGTGACGGGCATTAAGGGCACGTGATGTCATGAGCACTGGGTGTTACATGCAACCAACGAACCACTGAACTCTACCTCTGAAACTAATAATACCCTATGTTGTTAACTGAATTGAATTTAAATTTAAAACTTTTTTCAAAAGAAAAAAGGTATGATCAGTACTTCCGAAGTGCCAAAGACCAATGGTGTGACTCGCTCGGGTGCCGCCCGGGCTGGCCTCTCCCACTGCCATCCCTGGGCCACTCTGCACCAGCCCCGATGTATCGGCAGAGAAATGCAGGGACAAGTCCCCAAGATCATTAATTAGAAGGTCCCACTATTTCTGTTAAACAAAGCACTCACGGGGCCGCGGGAATGTCACGAGTTATTAACTCTCAGATGACTCGGAAGGCAGATTTACATGCAGGAACGAGCATATTTTTAAGGGGATCAGCTTATTTACACATGGGAAGGGGGAGGAATTTTCCCGTGTATAAACAGAAGCTTGGGTCTGGTTTTGTGGGGGGGGTAATGAATCAAGTTACACAGCAAAATTTCAGAAAATTTTGGAAAAAATTCAGTGGCAACAGAGACTTTCACCTGTTTTTCTTTATGTTCTTACATCACCCGAATGTTCTGTAATGAAAACTTACATTCAAAGATTACAACTAATTGCCTCAAGGAATTTAAAAATGCAGTAACAAAGATGATAGGTCTGTGTTTATCAAACCATCATCCATTTCCTGGTTTAAGGAGCTTGTGTTTGCCCCCTCTCCGTAAGGAAGACGAAACCTGAGGCGTGGGAACAAGAAGTACTCAGGGCAGCGGTTAGGACGGTCACTGAGAGCATCACCTGGGCCAGGGGACAGGGCTCAGGGGCTTGTCCCGGGTGGACGGCAGGGGGGACGGGATAGAGATGGGCCCTCCAGCCGCACTGCCCACGTAGGAGTGAGCCCACAAGGAAGCACCACAGACTGGGCAAGAGAGTCAAATCCTCTGTGCTCTGGCCTCATCTGCAAAACATGGGTGCTGGCACCTGTCTTCTTGCAAGGATGAAAGAGAGCACAGAGAATCACGCCTCGCCCACAGCAACTACCATCATTTGGAAACGACCCAGCACACCCCACAAGAAGGATCAGCATTCGAGTATTTTTAAAGCAAAACAGCTTAAAAGTTTACTTTGAATTGCCTTAGTTATAAAAGAATCCCCATCTCAACACCTGTCCTTTCAAACGACAATCCAGTCCTGAAAAGTAACGAAGTGCACCCCCGAAACAGCCAAAGTCTAATTCTCTAAGAGGCGAGAGCCTGCCTGTGTGCACGCGTGTGCGTGTGTGACGGGGGGCAGGGGCTGACCAACACGCAGTCCTGTGATCGAGTCAGAATCCTCACTTCCCAGAAGCTCGTGTGGGACCCTCGGCAACCACTGGCCAAGCACATACATTTCTGGTGAAAACAAAACCTAATGGCCTTGACTGACAGCCTATGGCGAGGTGCCAGCTGCCTGGGGCCACGGCCCAGTCTGTTCCTGGTTTGTCCACACTGACATTTGAGCAACTCCTCCAGCAAAAACTCTCCGGGGACTCAATGGACATGAACCGCCTCTCTATCACAGCTCAATTTCGGGTTTCCTCTTCTTAGGAATATCCGTCCTGACCTATGCCTTTATGTCTGGAGCAATACTTCAGTATTTTAGGATGGAGGTCAGGCCCGTGACCTGAATTCGGGACCTCAATGTCATGTCCTAGGCGAGCAGACTGATCCTCTAGGATGACGCGCCTTCCCCTAAGTTTCAGGGGCCCCCAGCCAGCACCTCCAGTTTGGTTGGGGGCACCTGTGAGATCCCACCTGCACGTGGAGCAGTTCCGCTGACAAGCTCGTCAGAGCAGCGGGACGTGGGGTCCCCGCACCCTGGCAGCACTGCCCAGGGGGCACCGCTCTCTTCCCCCGCCACCAATGCTGACATAACACTGTTCATGTGGTGGGTGCCCCCACCAGCAGAAAGCTCGCGGAGGAGGCCCCTAACGCTGCACCTAACAGAATCGAGAAGGGGACCAGCATCTGGGTGGGGAGAGGCGGGGAACGAGGCACCGCCTCCCCCTACCTGAGCCCTGTGCTCAAGCAGTGCGCGGCATGCAGCCTTTCTGCTCGGACACATACCCGCTGCAGTTCCTGGTTCTTCTCCTCCAACTGCGCCTCCATCTGGCGGAGCCTCTCCTCGATGTTGCCGTGCCTCTCCTCGGCCTGTTGGCAGAAACACCGTGAGCTCGGCGGGCGGCCCCCCGTCAGTGCCAGCATGCTGTGCGCGACCGCGGTAGCCACAAGCACCACATGCTCTGTGCGGGTTCTCCCACCGGCTGGCGTGGACATCCTCTCCTCCCGCCGGGAACACACCCTGTGCGGCCTCAGGCATCACAGTGTGAAGCAGCCGGCCTCCCCACGCCGGTGACCGAGGCCCGGCCGGTGCTGGTGACAGACTCTGCCAGAGGAGAGGGGCTTCTCCCCAGCCCGGCCCCGTCTCTGGAGGTGGGGCTTTCTCCCCACCCTCAGACGGCCTGTGCTCAGTCAGCATGAACAGCAGGAAGCAGCAAGCACCACAGAGCAATGCACACATGCTACCTTCCTAAGCTGGGAAGTGAGTTCGAACAGTTTAGCTTCCTTAGCAGCAGAGTTTCCAGAAGACAAAAGGTCAGACTACAAGGCCGACCAGGGACAGGAGAGATGACAGGGGGAGAAAAGAAATGGAGACTTTACACGCAGATCACCAAGGAGAGGCTGTTACAGCTGTTAGCAATGACCTCGCTCTCAGGAACGGTCTGGTGAGTGCCAGATGCCGTGTGACCGACCGACATCACCTGTCAAGAACAGCACCTGGGCCTGTCCTGCCCCCTTCTCACCCGGGCCCTCAGCAAACTGGAGCCAGGTGAGATGGAAGTACCGAACGGCACGCTCCTACAGGCTCCCTGGGCCCCGGAAGGATGGACTGTCTGCTTCCTCTTCCCATGTGGACCCCCCAACCCCAGCACCTACCACATCGCAGCTTGACACTGCATCCTTGCCTGCTGGCGACCCCTGCAGATGTGAGGACTGGGATGGCAGGGCTGTGTCTCACACATGCCCAGCCCGTATTCGTCGAACCCATGAATGAATTACTCAAAAATTCGTTTATTATAAATTTACTTTATCTTTAAAAGAGAATAGGACTTTCCTATTTCTGGGAAAATTCTTTTTTTTTTTTTTTTTAAGTAATCTCTACGCCCAACGTGGGGCTTCACCTCACAATGGTGAGATCGAGAGTCGCACGCTCCACTGGCTGAGCCAGCCAGGCGCCCCTACCCTTATTTTACCCAATTTTATCCAAAGCCTCTATCTTGAGCTTTGAGTTGTTGACTTAATAACTCTGAAAAGCAGTGAACCTTAGATCAAGCCCACCGGAAACAGTGCACATCCGTGACAAAATTGGAGGGAAATTAATGTAGGGATAACAAAAAAGGGGATGATTCCTGACATTTAAAAAGCGTTCCGATCTCAGACAAAATAGCACTGAACACAGATCTGAGCTCTTTCACGGATTTAGGCACACTGACATGAGGAATGAGGATAAGTAAGGCACACGAACCAACCACCGTCAAAATCAAAACCCCGCCATGGGACCCCGAACGAAAGCCAGGCAGCACCTTGGAGAGCGCCGCCACCCTCTGGGCCAGCTGGGCCTCCACCTCGGGGAGCGTCTCGGCCTTCCTCAAAGTCTGCTGCAGCTTCTGCTCCGCCAGCTCCAGGCGCTCTTGTAACTGCCGGTTTTTATCCTCAGTCTAGGAACGGAAGGCAAAGCATCAGAATGTGGCCAACCTTCTATCCGTTTCTATTTTTAATAAAATGAAACAAAATCTAAATGCAGAGATCTACTAAATTAGTTCTGAGAAGCCAACTGTTTTGGTAGCTTCTTCAGAGTAAAACTTTTCTTCCTGCGAGGAATATACACCCACTTTCCTGGGCTCGATTTCAATGTGCAAAACACCTCTTGCCAAAGTATTGCTCTTCTTAAAGATCTTCAACGAAGTCTACGAAGTCTTTAAAAAGCAAAAAGTTCCCATGCATTAAAGAAAACCCATACTCTGTAGAAGCTTGCTCATTCTTCTTGACAACTTAAGGAAAGAAGGGTTCGGTCCTAACCCTGCTTAAAAAGTAATCAGACTCCTTGTCTTTCGCAGACCATGGCCGTGTGAACCACAAGAGAGCTCACACCTCCTCTGAAATATAGACCTTCTAAGAGGATGCCTAATGAAATGCTACTCAGGTTATTTTCATAAATGTATAATAATTCTTTAAAAACACGCTGTTCATTCTAAAATATTTTTTTCAATGAAGAAAATTTAGACAAGATTTTTTTAAAAGCAATTTGAAAAATCATGTGTAAGTTGAGGTTCCTGAAAGGCAAACATCTGCTTACATGCAGCCTCCTTTCTTCTGTGCGCATATCTCTGTGTTTATATATACACACCCTCAGAAGATACATCACACTGTATGCAGTATTTTGTCATCTACCTTTTATGGTCATTATTTGGAACATCTTACATGCTCTTAAGTAGCATTCCACAAATGTAATTTTTAATGGCTTCCTAGTATTTTACTTTTTGTTATTATCTTGGGTTCATTGATACACTTTACAACGTATCACACAAACTCACTTTGTTTCCAAGAGGCTGGATTTGGTTTTCCTGTTTAACTCTGGATGACCTGAGACTACCCAAGCAGAGAAGCCAGCGTGGCTTCCCAACCCACAGGAGGCTCCCGTCCACACGACAGACTGCGTTTCTGCACCTGCCGTTCACCCCCATCCCAGGTACCAACAAACTGCCAACAGCCTCCACGCTCTTGGCCACTCCTTCCTCCTTTGGTAAAAATGCTAACAAGCAACAGATTAACATACAATGAAAACAAAACAGAAGAAAGAATCGAGGTTACATAAAATCCTAAATAATTAAAAACTTGCAAGTTGAAGTAACCCACATTCTTGAACATAATTTTCTAAGATCATAAAAACTTTATATTGAGACTTGATTTCCAACATGAAAGTCACAGGAAAAAGGTCTTGACCTTTATTAGTAATTAATAAAAGTCGAACGAAGTTCAACAAAAGCCGCTACCTGCCGATGCATAGAGTCTTTATTTGCAATCTCATTTTCAAGTTTATCATTGAGGTCATGCACAGAGGTGGCTTCGCGCTGTGCCGCGAGGTAGCGTTTTTCAAGAGTGGTGATCCTCTCTTCCATGTCTTCCTTCTGGGCCATGGCCTACATCAAGTATTTCAAGGGGAAAAAAGGCAAATAATTAAAGGCTAACAACATCAATATACTCCAGACACAAAACCTGGACTAGATCCTAATTTTCAAATCAAATATAAAATCAGTGTCCTCTAAATTGAGAGAGATGCCAACTGTCTCCAATATGAATGAAAATATACCTACCTCAAATATCCCAAGTATTCCCCTACATGACCAGTAAAGACTGCTTTAATACTGTTTTAATACTACATCTGGCCACTCAGTTTACCAAGCTTATTCTTTCCCACACGATGTTACAAAAGAAATGTGGGATCAAATATCCCAACACTGCAAGACTGCCAGGAGCCGAAGGTGTGCGCAGTGAAGGTGCAGCCCCTACTGTCCCTGATACAAGTGGGCTTTCCATAGATCGGGGGGTGGCCTCTCGACAGACAGAGCAGTGAGACACGGCTGTCATTTCCCTGTGTAAAAGCTGGATGAAATCTCCTCCAATCACCACAAAATGGAAGCAATACTATTAACAAATGGAAACAAAACTCCAAGTCTGATATAATTGGATGCGACCTTCTGAAGCCTAATCCTGCAGCAAAATTCTATCACATGGTATCTGACACTGAAAGTGGGCCCAGAACTTTCTGCTCTGCCCTTCCTGTCCTCCACCCTAGAGATTCATCTTAGGTCCCTCCCTGTTTACTAAGGAACTTATGTCAGCAAAGTCTTAACATTAAAAGTGATGAGTCTTAAAAAAAGAATTTCAAAATTCTTTGCGTATTAAACTCTGCTGCAGAATCTCCTACCCTTGACAAAGAATAATTTAATTAAGTAGGTTATATAATTTCTGCAAATATTTTCATTTGTTTTAAACTCTTCCGTGAAATTACCCACGCTAAGCTACTACACAGAAAGTAAGCCTGTGCATCCACACTCAAGGGTGTCAAAGGGTCTTCCTGGGGGTGGGAGGGGGAGGGATGACTGTCTACAAAGGACAGCTTACAGTGAGTGATGGGAGGCGGCGCCAGAGAAAGTATCCTGCCCTTGACCTGTTTTTGTAAACATGATCAGATTCTCATAAATCACTCTAAATGCAGAAACGCTTGCCAGAAATAAGTATATGTCTACATGTTTTTACAGCCCGATCCTGATGACCCAGGTGTGAGCAAATCCCACTCTCACTGTGTGTCTGACTGCCAATGTTCAACAGCACATAACCCTTCTGGGAGCAGCAGGTGAGAAAGCTAGAAGGCAGACGGCACCACCCCCTCCCACATCGCTGTCCGCTGACTAGCAGCACAACAGATACTGACGTGTGTCCCTGAATGAAATGTGAGCCTGCCAAAGAGTAAGTTCAGACAGCCAGACTCTGCAGAGGGGAGACGTCCACACACAAGGGTCCCACCAAACACCCCACATTCAGCTCGACGACAGCGCGGCAACGTCTACTGTCACTCACTTCACGAACGTCGCGCTGCAGTTTCGTGTTCACTTCCTCAGACTTGATGAGGTCCTTCCTAGCGGTGTCCAGGTCCTCCTCCAGCTCTGCCACGTGACTAGAGAGAGTGGCCAGGCGCTCCTTCATCTGGCTCTGCTCCTTCGACTGCTTATCTATGATTTCCTGGAGCTCGATGACTTTGGCAAGGTCTTCCTCGTGGCTTAAAGAACCGTCGGAAGATCTCTGGTGGGGGAAAAATCCTTAAATAGCCTTGTTTGCTGAGCTAGGGAACGGACCACTTCCCGGAAAGAGTCAAGTCCCATGGTCTATGCCGGCTGTCGGCTTCCACCACTCTCAGGAGCGCGCGGAGGACATCAGGGAAAGACAGAGAGAAAGCCTAAGCACTTGCCTTTCCATTTGTGCTTGGAGTATTTTCTTGTTCGTGGTTCATGTCAAGCACTCCGTCGGTTAGTGTTTTCTTCTGATTATTCTGTTCTTTAAGAATCATTAGCTAAAAGCAAAGAACTGAATGTGAGGGTGAGGAGATAAAGAGAAACTCCTCTCAGAAAGATGCAACTACAAGCTGTAAACACGGGACGGGAGAATACACGGCGATGTTGTCTAGCCTGAATACAACCAGGTCAACAACTAGGTTGGTGCTATCGACGGGACGATGGGAATGTAAGGGACCGTGTGACTCGGCAGTAAGAGCCTAGTGCGCTGGTCCCTGGAGTGGCCCGCGAGGGTGGCTCGCTGGTCAGAAACACCAGTGACGCCTGACGGCCAGCACTGAAGGCTTCATAATGATAAAAACAAGGCATAAAAACTAGAATCCCTCTAACCAAATCCTCTGGTGATTTATGGAGCTTACCTCTTTGTGTGTAGCCCCCAGTTCTTCTTCTAACAAACTACACCTTTCGAGTGCTACTCGTAGCCGCTCCCTCACCTGCAAACAGAGGGGTGGGTGTGTATTTGTTTAACTGCTTCTTAATGTACAGTCACCCTTGGGTCCCATTCTCATAAGGTAACATGACAGAATGACTTCAATGTCTTTCACTGATGTTAATGGCAAGAAAACTGGCTTGTTGGGGTGCCCGGGTGGCTCAGTCGGTGAAGCGTCTGCCTTCGGCTCAGGTCATGATCCCAGGGTCCTGGGATTGAGCCCCACATCGGGCTCCCTGCTCAGCAGGAGGCCTGCTTCTCCTTCTCCCTCTGCTGCTCCCCACCCCCACCCCGCTCATGCACCCTCTCTCTTTCAAATAGGTAAATACGATCTTTAAAAAAAAGAACTTGCTTTGTAACAGCTTTAAATTTTACATTTGAGAGAAGTCTTCCCATAAATAAGTTATATTACCCAATTCTTAATGGCAAATCGATATACCGAATATAATAAATCTTAACACATTTACACCAACCGCTACTTTTTAACCCTACAAAAGTCTGTCTTCGGGCGCCTGGGTGGCTCAGTTGGTTAAGCAACTGCCTTCGGCTCAGGTCATGATCCTGGAGTCCCGGGATCGAGTCCCGCATCGGGCTCCC